TCCTGCTAGTGGCTTCCTAATTGCAGTCAAAGATATAAGAGAGAAGGTGACAAGTAGTCTCTCTCCATGTTAACACTGGTGAGGCTGACCTTCCCATCGCACACATTCTTCTTTTCTGTTCTAGGCCATGGGCATCAATGACCTGCTGTCCTTTGACTTTATGGATGCCCCACCAATGGAAACCTTGATCACAGCCATGGAGCAGCTATACACATTGGGGGCCCTGGACGACGAGGGCCTACTTACTCGCCTGGGCCGCAGGGTAGGGGGCAGAACCTAACTTCTGGTGCTTTGGGGAAGGTTCCCTGGCTAACCTTCCATACTCTGTTCTGTTTAAAAGATTAAACTCTGAGGCCCTGGGTAAGCTTTGAGTAGAATTCTACATGCCTGTTTTTAACCTGGATTTTCCTCTATCACTTAAAACTCTTTCTTCTTTACAGAAAAAGAAATTCTATTCAGTTAATCTTACCTCATGATATATTATTGAATCTAGCCTTAATTTGAAAAGATGTCTGCAAAATTCCCACCTATCCCAGCGGTAGTTATATTCTTGGTCACATACATTTTGTTGGGTTTATTTGGGAAATTAAAAAAAAAAAAAGTCTTCTGATAGAGCCAGGCATCCCACACCATCGTGCTTAGGTAAACCTCCTGTGGTCTGTTACCCACTCTGACCAGTGTTTTTACACTGGCAACCCCAGATGGGTCTTCCCCAGGGATGCAATTGTAGTTTCTTCTTCTCCCTCTAGATGGCAGAGTTCCCCCTGGAGCCAATGCTGTGCAAAATGCTGATCATGTCTGTGCATCTAGGCTGCAGTGAGGAAATGCTGACCATTGTGTCCATGCTGTCTGTGCAGAACGTCTTCTACAGGCCCAAGGTGGGGAGTTCAGGCCCACATTCAGATAGGGGTCAGGTGAAGTCGGGTGAAATCAGCCTGTTGCCACCACAGTGCTTAACGTGGACACTTGATGGGGCCGCAGAGGGCTCCCCAGCACTGCTGGATGTTCAGTTAGTAGCTGTGGGGTGGAAAATGATCCTCTCCGCACTGCTTGCAGGATAAACAAGCCCTTGCAGATCAGAAGAAGGCCAAATTCCACCAGACCGAAGGGGACCACCTCACCCTGCTGGCCGTGTACAACTCCTGGAAGAACAATAAGTTCTCCAACCCATGGTGCTATGAGAACTTTATCCAGGCTCGTTCTCTGCGCCGGGCCCAGGACATTCGCAAGCAGATGTTGGGCATAATGGACAGGTAACACCCGGTAACTTCTCATGTTCAAGTTGAACCTCCTTGAATGCCGTGTCTGTTTGTCTCTGTACGAACCTGTGAAGCTGTAGGCACCTGTCCTCTTGCTCCTCACATAACTCTTTTTTCCTCCGACTTTTCCTTAAGGATGTGGCTGAGAATCACTTCAGAAAGTTCCTAAGAGGGAGGTGATATATTAGTTGTTGACAATGCTCTTTGTTTACAAGCGTCTGCAACATTATTAGTTGGGTTGAATTACAACCTAAGCAAAGTGTCTGGCTCTTATGGCATCCATCTTGCCCGCTGTGTAGAGCTGCCCCTGGAAGGGCTGGAAGCAGGGTCCTGGTTCCAGCTCTGGGGACCCCAAGAAGGATATGTTGGGTACCATCATTCCAGAAGATAGAACCTCTGAAAGCAGAATAGTCTCACACCTTTGTCCTCTCTTGATTTATTCTGCTAGACACAAGCTGGATGTGGTCTCCTGTGGTAAGTCCACAGTCCGAGTGCAGAAGGCCATCTGCAGTGGATTCTTCCGGAACGCTGCCAAGAAAGACCCACAGGAGGGTTACCGGACACTGATCGACCAGCAGGTGGTCTACATCCATCCTTCCAGTGCTCTCTTCAACAGACAGCCCGAATGGTAGGTGGGCAGAGAGAACTTGTGGATCTACTGGCCTTTTGTGTCTGTATCCTCACCCACCCCCAGCACTTCCTACTCTAATATTGCTCATATTTCTAGAGAAGCAGGAGCCTGAATTAGACACAATATCAGGCCCTTTTTATTTATTATTCATTTATTTACTTTTAGGTTTTTTTTTTTTTTGGCCGCACTGTGCGGCACGCGGGATCTTAGTTCCCTGACCAGGGATTGAACCCGCACCCCCTGCAGTGGAAGCGCAGAGTCTTAACCGCTGGACCACCAGGGAAGTCCCGAGGCCCTTTTTAGAGGAAATCATGGGGGTAAGAGCTAGGAAGGATCTTAGAGATTATCTAGTGAGGTGGTTTAAAAAAAATTTTTTTTTTCAAGTAGTATTTTAAAAAAAACTGGAATCTTACCCACCCTAACATAAAACCAATTAAAAACCTCTGTGCCACCATGGTGGTAGAAGAGGGCTGGAGATGTAGAGCCTTGCCTGCCTGGCTTTCCCCATCCCCTTGTGGCAGCCTCTGAGGTCCTCTTCAGGGCCCTAGAGTTCTATGGATACAGCCCAGAAAACCACCCATTTCACAGAGCGGGAAACCGAGGTCCAGAGAAGGGATGTGATTGGCTCCGTGTCATTTAAATCGTTGGAACTGGCAGTTTTCTGTGGTTAGAGGTGTGCAGGCTCATCAGTATTGGGGTGTGGCTATCATAAACAGAGACTGCAGTCTCTTCAGGGGTCAGGCAGGAGAGGTAAGAGGGTCAAATGCAAGCTCAGCTGAGGCCCACCAGGGACCAGGGTGCCGTGGAGCCAGGCCTGTATCGGAGGCTTGAGCCCTCTCTCTGTACCCCGCTCAGGGTGGTGTACCACGAGCTGGTGCTGACCACGAAGGAGTACATGCGTGAGGTCACCACCATTGACCCCCGGTGGCTTGTGGAGTTTGCTCCAGCCTTCTTCAAGGTCTCTGACCCGACCAAGCTAAGCAAGCAGAAGAAGCAGCAACGACTTGAACCCTTGTACAACCGCTATGAGGAACCCAATGCCTGGAGAATATCCCGAGCCTTCCGGCGGCGCTGAAAGGCAAGAATCTGTTTGTCTCTTCTGCAGCAGTGGGCCAGGGCTTGGCCTCGCTCTTATTGATGAAAAGCTAATCCTGAGGATACAGCTGTCCAGTGACCGACTATCTTAACTGGGCATTTCCTAAACTTGTCTCTCATTTCTTGCCTGGTGGTAAAATAGAAACAGGGATTTACGCCTGGTTTGATCAGAGCCTCCAAGCCCCACCACCCCAAGGCACTCAGCCAGGGCTCACAGCCAACATGGGAGGACACTGCATCATCTCCAAGAAAGGGGAAACTTCTGCAGCCCTCGGATGGGAAAGGGGAGTCGTGAGCATCTGGTACCTGGACTCAGTGAGGGCCCTGATGCCCTAGCTGGTGCTCTGGAGGAGGGAGCCACAAAGCTCGCTGGAAGTGTTGGCCCCACTTCCTGCCCCTGTCCAGCCCCTGTACTTTTGCTTAACCTCCTGCAAATATTTATTTTCTTAAGGAAACAAAATTGTTTTTCTGTGGCTGTTTCTTCTAGCTGAAAGGTTAGTGTTGGCCTGGGCTGAGGGTGGGGAGGGTTAGTATCTGTGGCTTCAGTGGAGAGTCCCCTGAAACCAGAGCCCGGGGCTTCTTTGGGCTGGGAGGTGACGCACAGCCAGACCTCCAGTCTTATCTCTCAGCACCGGCGCTGGTCCGGCTCTGCGTGGACCGCCCCATGATTAACCACATCCACTGCACAGGCGCTCCGCTTTGGGCGCCTGAGTGGTTACAGATGCCGCATATTGAATACAGAAGGCTCTCCCTGGCTCCCTTTCCCGCCTGCCATGCTCACAACATGCAGCGTGTCCTATTTCCTTTTGAAACATGTAAGTAATGACACAACTTTCAGTTTATTTTGGTTTTATTTTTATCCTCCTGAGGTCTTTGACAAAGGGTTTTTTTGGTCAAAGGCTCCCTTCCTCCACCCCCAAACTGAAAATCAACAGAACACCTCTCAGAGCCTGTTTGTGCTGCCTAGGATCTGTGCTCCTGGCCTCGTGCTTGGTGGTTTTCTCCTAGCATTTGCTGGGGAATGGCCACCTCCAAGTGCCCCTCTCACATTTCCTGAGAAGCCTCTGGGCTTGGACTTGGAAGAACATCAGGCAGATGCTGCTGGGCCAGGCTGTGGAACTTCTGGAAAGTTGGTCTTGTAGAGAAGCCCCCGGGGGATTGGGGACAGCCTATGCTGTGGTCCGCACTGCTTCCTACCTCCTCACACCAGTAAGTAAGGATGTAAATACTAGAACTACTATACAGTGGTACCCTGGACGGTAAAAGAGACCACGTGACATATTAGGATATAAAGGACTGTGGACTGTCATTGAGCAGCAAACCAGCTACCCTGAAGACACAATTCAGAAACAACCCAGCAGAATCTGCTGACTGTAGGTCCCCGCCCCTTTACTGAGCTGAGTGAGCTCCTACGATTCTGAGTGTGCCTCTCAGGAAGCCCAGGCCAGCAGTTAAGGGCGGGGGATCTTTACCTGCTAACCTTTAAGGTATTATAGGGAGAGGTGGTGCAGGGCGGACCGAGGAAAGTGAAGTGGAAGCAGGGGCTGGGCACCCAGCTCCCCAGTCTTAATTCCAGCCCACGTCTCTCCAGTTTAGGAGCAAACTCTGGGCTTGGCAGCCCACCTGTCCCAGCTGGGTGACCAGCACTGACGGCATTCGCACCTCTGAAGTCATCGCCCCCAAGGAAGGAGGTTTGGGTTTTAAGCTAAAGTTGAAAAGGGGATGTTTAACAGGCCAAGGGTGAGAGACAGCAGGCTGGGCATCTTTCTGGGTTAGGTGAGCAAAAAGGACCCCAGCTCTGTGGGTGTTCCTTGCACATCTCCCCGAAGAGCTGGGGTCATGTCTCTGCTGTGACAACATGGCTGGGCTCTGACCTTCTGACTGTCCACCAGGAAACAGCATGTCGGCAGTATTGCTGAGCCTGCCCAGAGAGAGAAGGGGGCTCCCAGCCAGATTGGGAAGGACTCGTCTGCTGCTCCTACACAGTGGGGCCCGTTTCTCTTCCTTGAACCAGTATTTCCCGAGATTGAGTGACAGCCCAGGAGAGGATGTGGGTCTCACGCAGGGAGCTGGAATCTTCTCGGTTGTTAAGAGTATGCTTATGCTGTTTACCCGACCCCTGTGGGAGCCTAGCTCAGGAGTCTCCTGCCCCTGCACATGTGCCGAGTCTTGTACTTGTCTGTGTGTCGGGGGACCATACCCACGGGCCACATGTCAGCTCTCCTGCTGGGTCACGTGCCTTGGTCCAGGGTTCACCTTCATCCATTCTGGAGCACGATTTGGTTTTGGCTGTCTCTCCTTCAGCCAGAGAATTCTCTCCAGTGGTCATGGTTGTGATCTGGTAGCTGTTTCCCCTCGGAGCAGTGCCCTCCAAGTGGAAGGATTTGAACAAGAGTTGTGAGGAGTGTCTCGTTAACGCGCATTTCAGAGGGCAGAGGTCACGTGTCTCAGCCTGTGGAGACCTTTCCAGGACACTGCTTCTCACCTAAATTCCTGTCTCCCCTCATGTGTGCCTACTGGGGACCTCAGGGTTTCCACTTGACTTTATATCTCTTCCCACCATGATACCCTGGCTTTCATGTACAATTAAATCATATATTTTTAAAAACTTGTTTCTTAAAATTTTCTGGGGCTTCCCTGGTGGCGCAGGGGTTGAGAGTCCGCTTGCCGATGCAGGGGACACGGGCTCGTGCCCCGGTCCGGGAAGATCCCACATGCCGCGGAGTGGCTGGGCCTATGAACCATGGCTGCTGAGCCTGCGCGTCCGGAGCCTGTGCTCCGCAACGGGAGAGGCCACGGCAGTGAGAGGCCCGCGTACCGCAAAAAAAACCCCAAAAAACCAAAAAAACAAAAAATTTTCTGTCTCTTGCTCTAAATTATGAAAATTAGCACATTATGTTTTCTGTTTCTGGGGAAAAAAATAACATTGCTTTTTATTTGTGGGTAGGGTTCGAGTGGCATCCCTTTCTGCCATCTTGGCGTAAGCACTGGGCAGGGGCTGAGGGTGAAGCATTAACGGGGTTGGGCTGGCCCTGCCTCAGCGCAGCTGTGGTTCCCTGCAGTTCTGATGTACCTGGATGGAGAGCACCCGTTTTGACCTGAGCCTGGCTCCTAGGAAGCTGCTTACACAGGGGCTGGGTCTAGAACTGCCCATCCTGCCCTTCCCTTATGCACAGCCACCCCGTTGTCATATCTAGTTACACTTCCTCTCTAGGTGTCACTTTTGCAGCCTGGCCTTTCCCCGAACCCCAAAATCTCGGCCCAGTGTTCTGGTTTCCCCCAAATTTGGGCAAGGAGAGTCCATGCTGTTTCTCCTTCCCTTTTCCTGCGAAGGTCTGGCCTGTTCTTCCTCCACTAGCCAGGACCCAGGGCTCGGGGCTGCTCCAGCCTCCCTGCACCCTCCTGCCTGGGTGCCTTGCTTCTCTCCCTGCTCTCCAGATCCTCTTCACACAAACTCTGTCCTCACCTTCAGCAAAAACAGCAACCTGGAGCCACGGCAGGAGGGGACACACAGTTGGGGTACACATGGGTAGCATGGTCATGGGAGCAACTGTGATCACAGAAACCACAGGCCAAACTCTGCCTGAAGAAGCCCCAGGAGGCCCTCAAAGCTCTACTAGGCTCCCACTTCCCTCAACCTGGACAGGGAGATGGCTGCAGGTGGCCAACGGGCACTAGGCCAGATTACAAAGTACCCTTTGTCCATTATTTCAGACAATCCTCACACGATAATCCTGGGAGGGGGAAAGAGCAGGTATCACTGAGCCCATTTTCCAGAGGAAAAAGTCAGAGGTCAATTGTTTTTTCCTAAACCCAAAAGGGAAGTTAAGTGTCAGGGCCAGGCCCCAAACTCAGGTCATGTGCCCCTAAGGCCAGAGCTCTTTCCAGCCCCAGGTCTTTCTCCCATGGCAGCAAAGAGGACAAAGGAGAACTCACAGGAGACGCAGGGGCCTTTATTAGGGTCTGGCAGATGTAGTGGAGACGGAGGTGAAATCGCAGGCCTGGGCCTAGGAAAAGGCAGAGGAGAGGCAGAGGGCCCTGGGAGCAGAGCCCAGCCATCCCTCCTCCACCTGGCAAGCCCTCCCCCATCCCAGGTTCCTCACTCCAGCTTCCCCGACTCTAGGAACAAAGAGCACCAAGAACTGCCAAGTAGGACCCTCCAGGGCCACAGCTTGGAGCAGAGTGCAGGATGCAGGCTGCTGTCTCCCCAGCATGGGAGATCGGGGGAGCTCAATGTCTCCCTCTCCACCAGGATGAAGTGGGGAAGCTCCTTCTCTGTCCCCCAGAACAGAACAAACTCTTGTTCTCTGTGATGGGGGAGAGGGAGTGGGGCTTGGCCTCTAAGCAGAACCTAGGAAGAGGCCAGAGGTGGAGTCCCCGGAGGTGTTTCCGAGACGCCACCTTCACACTCGCAGTGTCTCCACTTTCCCTTCCCATCAACTCTGGGGAGCAGCTCAGAGTCTGGGCTGGAGTGACTGATGGGCAGAGGGGATCTGTTCCAAAGACATCTGTGGGTTTCAGAGTGGGAGTTTCCCTGACACCAAATTCAGCTCTATGTACACAGGGCAGCACCCCCGGCAGCAGGGGAGCAGCTGCTAGGGGCTAGTAAGAGTAGCCACCCTTGGGGCCAAAGGGCTGGGCGGGGCCAGCCAGCTCTGGGAGGTAGGCGGGGCTCTCGTCCAAGTGGGACAAAGGGACTGTGTCCTCCTCACTGACGGGCCGGTCAAACTCAGCCTTGAGAGCTGGACGCTGATTGTCCGGGAAGGCCAGAGAGAAGAGGGCCTCGGGCTCGCACACAAACTTGTACACGTAACGCTCGCCAGCCACCTGTGGGAAGAGAGGGCTGGGTCAGTGTGGGGGTGGGGAGAGCAGCCCTCCTACGGATGCCCGGGGCACATTTCTCCTCCAGCTGGTTCTTCTAAGAAGCTCCGGTTCTCTTATCTCAACCTCTCCATGCTTTTTAGGCTTTTCTGTTACTATTTATATGTATCACTGTTTTGGGAGAGGGAAATCTTGGGGTTGTCCACAGTTTGACTTCTCTGACTGGTTCACTGTCTGCTCCTTCAAACTTGCGAGAATGCTCTCCTGCCCCCAACACCTTCCCACATCCACTGCCCCCCACCCCCTTGCCCTTGGACCCTTAACCCCGACCTTCTGCATGATGCCTTTCTCGTAGTAGTATCGGAGTGAGCGGCTCAGTTTGTCGTAATTCATGGCTGGCCGGTTCTTCTGGATGCCCCAGAGCCTGGCGACCTGGGGACAGGAGACAGAGTTTGGGGATGGCGATGGCAGCTCAGCGGAGGAAATAATAGGGCGCAGGTCAGAAAGAGTACTTGAGATTCTTGGTGCAAATGCTCAGCTGGCCCTGCAGCTAAGCACCAGCCCGCAGACCCTGGTTTGGCAGGAATTCAGGTTAAATAAAGCAACGGTGCTGGTGAAGGCACGTGCCACCAGTTCCCA